GTTTACAGTTCTGTCATCAGATTATTTAATACGATTTGTTAAAACATTGTTGTTTCTTTTGATGTGAAATATTATGTATTTAATTTAAATAAAAAGCAATGTTAGTTTTGTTCACAATTTGTTTAGTTAGTTTACCTTATTTTTTTCTCGGTAAGCGGTATCGATAAAAGTAGTAGTACCGTTAAAACCTAGTTATGATATAATAAAAAATAAAAAGTTACATCATTAAAAGAATACACACCTGTAACAGTTCTTAGGATTTAGCAGCCAGGTGTATATTACACAGTTATTAACGGCATCTATATATATTGCACATAGTTTGTTGGTATTTAGCAGCAAGGGGTGATATAGTCTGTGTTGTGGTGTGTGTGTGTGTGTGTGGGGGGGTCAACTAGGGGCTGTGCTGGTTGTATAGTCTGACCGCTGCAGACTATAGAAGAACGTTTAAGCAATCTTAAAGACACTCTAGTAACATGTTTGAATATTTGTATGTGGTATAAACTGGAAAAAATATCTTGATAGTTGTGGCCATTTTCTTCTTGTCCTTAGTTTTGATTCTAAAGTATTGATACTATTTGTTGAAAGAATAATGAATCCTACATAATTTCCATTTTAAACCTTTTATTTAAAAAGATCTTACTGTTTGGATCTCTGAATCATCTCCTTCCTGGGAACAGCTCTCCTGAGCAGAGCGGTGCCTGGACAACAGAAAGATCCATTTTAAAATAACGTGTAGAAACTTAAACAGCTGTAACTAAAGAAAGTACATTTGCTTGGAACAATGATGTTATATTAAATATGCATATTTAGATTTCAAACTCAAAACGAGCGATACCTGAGTTAAGGTACACTAAGAATAGATTATGTGTGGAGTACCTTTGGGCCTCAGCAGCCTCCCTCTGGCTCCGGACCAGCTGAAGACATCCTCTCTCTCTCTGATGAAGACTTCCTGTCGCTTCCTGTCCTCCGCCTGCAGAGCCAGAGACTTCACTCTCCGCCTGGACTGAGAGATGAAGTCCGGACGCCGCATCTCCAGAGCTTCCTGCAACACGAACAACATTAATGCTTTTCAAACAGAAAAGGGGCCGATGTATCTCTTACTCGGCGCTGCACAATTTTTCGCAAATTATATTTGTTCTTCAAGTTTACAATGTCTTTGGCTAAAAGCTCTTGAAAACTCTAAAGTCTTCTACCAACCTGGAGAGAGATGCGTGCCAGACCAGAGGATATTGTTTTGGTTCTGCGCTCTAAATCGTGTTCAGCATGATGTCTGTTTCCCTCCTCGTGGATTTGTCTCTGTCGCAGCGGTTCTCTCCATGGATGCATTTTGCTGTGCGGTTCAAACCAGGCGCTGCTCGGCCTCCTCGTCTCCTCCTCCTCTGGTCGGTTCTCCTTCCTCCCCTCTGACCTCAGGTCCTCAGCAGCGATGAACCACGAGACACCTGCAGAGGGCACAGGTGATTCAAACCATCCAAATCAACACAAGGATTTCATTTTGTTCAGGCATAGAACTATTTATCACACAGCTTTGTCGAGTACTCAATACTGCTCTCAGTTTATATGTTGCTATAGGCGCGTTCACACCGCAGTACTTTTCCCACTTTAGTTCCGATATAGTTCCGAAATGTCACGTTCACAACAAAAAGAGCTGGAACTAAAATGAGTTCATCAGAACCTTTCTACCCCCAAGTCCCTGCTAGAGAGCAGGTACTTTCGTGGGAGAAAAAGGTTCCTATGTCTGATTGGCTGGGCGGAATACAAACCACGCCCCGTAAAACTCCCAAAACGTTTTGTGAAGCCGCCATTTTATTATCCTCGCATTAGCATTATTAGCATTAGCATTCCAGCGCAGAAACGCAGAGAGACTAACTTATGGCAACACAAAATAAAACATGGGAGCGGTGGAGATGAGTAGGTGTCGGCGTTCTGGCGATTTACTCGGAAGGCTTCAGTAGAAGCTGCTGGGAGTCCCAGCAGCTTCTACTGAAGCCAGTCCCCAACAACCGGGGACTTCCGGCCGGGGATTTTGGGCGGCAGTATACGCCGTGAAGTTGTTTGCGGCCTGCCAGTAACCCCAAAGCAGAAGAAGAAGAAGTGACGTCAGCGGCTTCATTTGACTAATTCTTCCCCAGGAACTTATTCCGGTGTGAACGCGATCTGTACTTAGTTCATGGGAACTAAAGAGTTCTGATGAACTAAGTTCTCATGAACCTTTGTGGGAAAAATACTGCGGTGTGAAAGCGCCT